TAAAGAGTAGAGTGTGCATGCACAAAAACACTCCAGAAGGATCTACAATTAACAAATGACAATGACTATCTTCTTGCAGGCTGGGAGCTGTTTGGCTGAAGACCAGGAGAGGGCAGTTTTCACCATATATTTAATGCACAAACCACTTCAAAAAAATGAAATTCAAAAAGCATTTATGCCACTCCTTAGAGTAGTTTCTGCTAACTTTCCAGGAACAAATTACCAAGAAGTACTGCTGTAGTTCCAGGAGGAGGGGGTTCCCTGTCCCCAGAAAGTTTGCTATGAATTTAATGAGGAAAGAAAGGTAAGGGCAAAAAGCTGGGGGAGAAGGGGGTTACCACATTTATTCTCACGGTGGTCACAGACAGCTTGGTGAACGAGGCTGGCTCGAATGTGTTCCCCGGGCCGGCTACAGGCTCTGCTGCCCCGCACAGGCTTAATCCTCTAGGCAGTAGGCCTCCGTCTCTCCTCGCCCCTTGTCCTCCAAGCTCCCTGCTCCCACACTAGGGCTTAATTCTCCAGGGGCATCAGGACCCCTAGCTCTCTCTCTGCTCTCATAGTGACGGCTGGGCCCCTGCTCCCGCATTCCGGGAGCAACTCTGTGGGCCGGTCCCTGGTGACTGGTGGGTGCCTGACCAATTACATACCAGGAATAGAGGCAGAGGAGAGAATGGGTGTTTCCTCTCTACCTCTCCCCTGGGCAGGTACTCCCATGACTGACCAGTGGCTTTGTCACCAGTAAACATCCCATAAATGTGCAAACATGCTCTCACTATATATATGATGGGTGCTACTAAGGCTAGGTGGGACTCCTGCTCATAAAGTTCCATTTTCCCCACAACTGCATATCTCCCATTTTCATAAGCAAAAAAGGAGAGAAATCAAATTGTCCATCAGATCAATTTACACCAAGGCCTGGATCCTGGGGCTCTTGGAGTTTCCAAGGACAGTAAGTTATTTTTGAGAACATTGGGAAAGGTCGTGTCTGAGAAAGGTGTCACTCAACCCTATGCCTTGATCACATCTGATCCCAGAGTCACCAAACTCTTCTACAAGAGGCTGAATTTCTGGTTCCCTCCTGCATCTCAGTCATCTTGAGATGTCAGTCAACAAGACTTTTTTTGTTTTCCTTTCTTTTCTTTTTAAAAAGCTTTCTCAAAGTATATGTGGCAGGCAATATATCATATGTGTATAATTGGAGCGTGTAATTTGATCTTCAACACATGTATTGAGAATTGCAAAAACTCAGCACAAAAGATTCCATCCAATCATCCCCATGCAAGATACTGACCGAACTCTGGTGGGCATCTAGTAGCCTAAGACTGTGTCCCTGGGATGGCCCAGCCGCTCTCAAGTTCCTGCCTGGGAAAGCTCAGGTGGGCTGCCAAAATACTTTACTCTTTGTTCCAGCCAAGACTTGATAAGCTGCAGATCTGCCTTTTCTCAGTGCATTTATGTTAGAAAACTTAGAATTGTAAATCCTTTATTTCTGTCCCTTTGAGTTGTACATGTACCTTCTACAAACCAGAATGTCTTTTTCAAGGACCTGGAAGCCTTCCTTTGAAATGGAAGGATGTGGCTCCCCATCTCCCCATCTCTGTGGGAGAGTAGGAGCCTCATTTGGATAAGCACCAGTCAGCCTGGCACACTTCCTGCCCTTCAGAACTTTCCCTCTAGCTCACCCTAGGGTTTAAAAGGCCTCTTGCCTTTTTTGTTTCTGCAGAGTTGAGCTCATGTTACACTGAGGTCTCTTCTCCAGTAGACCACCTGTGAAACTCTCATCCCAGTCGAGATAGTGACCACATCCAACCCCCAAGAAGTTTCCTTGGGTCTCCTACTAACCTCTCCCTCCTGCACCTGCCCCCATTCCCCATTCCCAGGCAAGCTCTGAGGTGCTTTCTGCCCATGTACTTTCATTTACATTTTCTAAATTTTGTATGTGTGGAATCATACAATATTTCTTCCTTTTTTGTCTGGCTTCTTCACTCAGAACAATTATTTTGAGATTTATCCATGTTGTTGGGTGTGTCACTAGTTCATTCCTTTTTACGTCTGAGTTATATTCTATTCTATAAATATATCATTTTTTAATCTACATACCCATTGATAGAGGTAGTTTCCTGTTTTGGGCTGCTATGAACATTTGTGTACAAGTCTTTAGGTGAATAGTTCCTTTTCTTTTGGTTAAATATGTAGGAGAGGAATGGCTGGGTCATATGGTGAATGCCTGTTTAACTGTTTAAGCAACTGCCAAACTCCTGGCTCTAGCAGTTTGCTGCCACTGTTGTTAGGTTGTTTTTTGCAGATTCTACCAGACTTCCTGATGAAATGGGCTGAGAGAGGCTCAGGCATGCAAAACAAAGGTAGTTTCCCTCGTTCTTTTCCAGTCTGGATGCCTTTTATTTTCCTTCTCAATTGTACCCAATGTTACAATAAAAGCTGTGAGAGCAAACATCCCGCCTTATTCCTGCTCTTAGGGGGATGTAGTGAAGTATGATGTTAGACACAGGCTTTCTGTAAATGCCCCTTATCAGACTACATTCCCTTTTATTGTTAAGCTTGCTGAGACTTTATCAGGACTGAATGTTGGATTTTGTCAAATGCTTTTCCTCCACCTACTTGTTTATTTGGTATGCATTTTTAGTTAATACAGTGAATGACAATAACTGATTTTCAAGTGTTAAACCAGTTCTGCATTCCTGGGACAAACCCCACTTGGTCATGTTGTATTATCTTGTTAATATACTGTTGGATTCAATTGGCTAAAATTTTATTAGGACTTTGGCATCTATGTTCATGGAGGATACTGCTCTTCTTTTGTCATGATACCTTCGGCTGGTGTCAGTGTCAGAGCGATGCTGGCCTTTGGAATGAGTCAGGAAGTATTCCTCTTAATCTTCAAAATTTTGGGAAGAGTTTGTGTAGAATCATTACTATTTTTCCTTAAATGCTTTTCAAAATTCATGAGTAAGGCCATTTGGGGCTTACGTCTTAGTCCATCCAGGCTGCCCTAACAAAAATAACATAGAGTGGCTGGCTTATAATTAGCAGAAATGTATTTCTTACAGTTCTGGAGCCTGGAAGTCCAAGATCACGGTGCCCCCATGGTCAGGGCTGGTGAGAGCCCTCTTCCAGACTGCAGACTGATGGTGGAAGAGGCAAGGCAGCTTTCTCAGGCTACTTTTATAGGGGCACAAACCCCCATCCACAAGGGCTCCATCCACTCTTACCATGTTATCTCTTCCCACTGGTCCTACCACCAATACCATTGCCTTGGGGGTGAGGTTTCAACGTATGGATTTTGAGGGGATATAGCAACTTGGAGATTTCTTTATGGGATGGTTTCTAATTACAAATTCAATTTCTATAATAATAAATACAGGGCTTTTCTGGTTATGGGTTATGTATGTTTTTCTTTAGTGAGCTAATATAGTTTATGTCTGTCAAGGAATTTATCCATTTCATCTAAGTTGTTGAATTTATTAGCACTAAGTTGTTTATAATATTACCTTATTTCTTTTTAACATCTAGAGCTCTCACCCCTCTCACTCTTGATATTGGTAATTTATGTCTTCTCTTTTTTTCTGGATGAGTCTGGCTAGAAGTTTATCAATTTTATTGATCTCCAGGAACCAGATTTTGGTTTAATTGATGTTGTCCATTGTTTTTGTTTTCTGTGTCATTGATTTCTACTTTGATATTTCTTTTTTTCCACTTCTTTCGGTTTAAATTGGAACCTGATTTGAAGCCTGTCTTCTTTTTTAATATAGGCATTTGGTGCTACCAATTTTCCTTTTTGTGGCCTACCACAAATTCTACTATGTTGTGTTTGAGAGGAGCTTATTTATATATTTACATTTATAAGGAATATAAATCCAGTTATATATGTTGCATCTTAAAAATTCTAAGCTTTGTCATAAAGAATCTCATGAAACTTGAAAAGGACTGATTGCCCCTCATCAAAGATGTAATTAATTTAACTAGGTGTCCTAGCACCTATACATATGGACCTATTCCATAAAGAAATAAGTAATGGGAATGTACAGATAACTAGCTAAAACTGCTATACAATATATAGGAAAGTTAAGAGAGTGGATCCTAGGTGGTCTCACCACAAGGGGAAAAATTTTTTTACTTTTTGCTTTTTTTATTGTATCTATGTGAGAAGATGGATGTTACCTGAACCTATCTGGTAATCATTTCACAATGTATGTAAATTAAATCATCATGCTGTATGCCTTAAAATTTATAGTGATGTTATGTCAACCATCTCTCAGTAAAACAGGGGAAAAAAAACAAACAGAATCACTGGCTTAATTAGTTACTGATGAATGAGAGACATTAACGGAAACCTACTTAAGGGCAAATGAGATGGAAGTGACTGTCCACTGTCTAAGATGGCAAAACAGAACTAGGAGAGTTAGAGGAGCAATAAAGTGAATCTGTTGTACCCGTGTGAAGATCCTGATGGTGGCCACCTAAGGTCACTAGACTGTAAGAGGTAAGTGATGCAAGTCAAGTCAGGAAAGCCAGAGCTGATGTTCAACACTCCCTTGGCTTTGGAGGGCTTGGTGGAACAGGGCAGCAATCAATAGTAAGAAGAATATTGGGCTGTCAGGGTTAAGAAACATTGCTTTAGAATTTTCTAGTATGGTCACCCTGTAGGTCATTAGTTTGGTGGCATCCTCTGGGACATATGGCCTAAGGGCGCTTCCCAAACTTCCACGTGCTCAGGGACCACCGGGTGCTGTTTAAGACACAGATCTAGGCTTCGTCCTTAGTCCCAGAAGGTCCTGTTTGCAAAGTGCCCAGGAATCATCTTATCTGTTGCAAAGACTCAGAGGGTCACAGCCCCAAACATAAAGGCTTGAGATTTAGCTGCCGTTTTTAGATTATGACCAACTGGAAAGCGTTGGTGGAGGAAAAATACCTCATCTGTGAGCACCGACCCCCTAAATACTTTAATTCCTCTATTCTGGGCATTCCCGCCCGGGAGCGCATCAGGAGGATCGCGCCAGCGCAAGGTGCGTGGCGCTGAGTGCGGCTGGGTTGCGTCTCGGAAAATTCCCTCCGGACCGGGTCGGGGGTGGGGGTGGGGGTGGGGCTGGGTGGTCCGTCGCGTCCCCTTTGCTCTGCCGCAGGCTCCCACCCACGCGCCCCCTCGGGAAGCATCGCGCGCCTCTCCTGTCAGAGCTGCGTCCCGAAGGAGCGCCAGAGGCCTGGCGGCCGGGAGGGGACGCGGCGGCGGCGGTTTCCGCCGAGGAGCAGGCGGCCGGGCGCGCGCACCGTGGGACCAGCGTCCGGGCTCGGCCCCTGGGGGCCTCCTCGCGCACTCGGCGCCGCCTCTTCCCGCGCCGCCGGACCGCCCGGGGGCGGGGCTTCGCGCTGCGGAGGCTGGGGACGCGGCGGTGCCGCGGCAGCGGAAGCGGGAGAGCGGCGGGGGGCACCGGGGAGACCGGCCAGCAGCGCCGAGCGGCCGCCCGAGCCGCGGCTGGAGGTGAGTGCAGCGCGCGTGCCCCCGCGTGCGCGCCGGCCGTCCGGCCGCCCTGCCCGTGGTCGTTCTCCCCGGCCTGGGGCCCGCGCCCAGGGACCCCGCACCGGCCTGCGGGGGCCACGCCCCTCCCGGCTGGCGCCCGGCCGCGTTCTTTCCCGGCGTCGGCTAGGGACCGGCTCTGCGCCTCCCCGCGCCCGAGCCTGCGCCCCGGGGCCGCCGCGAGGATTCCCTGCCCCTGGGAGGCCCGTCTGGGGCGAAGCGGGCTTCTCTTTGTGTTCTTAGCCTTGTCACGCGCCTCGGCATCCGAAGTCAAAAGCGTGCACCGCCGAAGTGGCACGAGTGACCGTCTTGCGGGCGGGATGGGCCTGAGGGCAGCGAGGCTCGCAGCGCGCCGCTCACCTCGGCCTCCGCTCCGCCTCGGGCGCCCACGTTGGCAGCGGGCGCGGCCCGGCAGGTGACCGGATCTTGGCCGCGTGCCGCCGGGGCTCACCTGGAGCCCGTGTCGGGGATGCTTCAGGTCCGCTCCCCTATCCGTGTATTCCCCACTGTTGGCAGTGTGGGGGACCCGTAGAACTTTTGCTCTGCTTTAGTAAAAATGCATACTCTTTACATTTCACACCCTATTTAATATTTTTAGGATTTTTTTTTTTGGTAAAATAAGACAGGAGAAACTTAATTTTGATGAATATTCTTTTTGGAAGAATTTAACAATCAGAGTCTCATGGTGATGCTCGTCATTTCCAGATGTCCCGTTTTCAAATCTGCATAACCAGTCTCGTGTAGTGTTTGCATTTTGAGATTTCATTTAACTGGTTTGGGGTCTCCAAGGCCTTACAGCCCAAAATTATGCAAAAATTATGCCTAGGGGCACACTGTTACAGTGTCCAACAGTACTGACCCAGCTCTAGAGTGAATTTTGTGTTTGGCTTCTGGCCATCAGATTGACTCATGTTTAGGCACTTTTACTATATTTCTGAATTTTTCAGCCTGGGAAGCAGTGGAATCTCTTGATGGTTCTTGGGGGATCCTCTAGGGCATCCTCACTTCTACTAGCTAGAAGTTTATCAATTTTATTGATCTCCAGGAACCAGATTTTGGTTTAATTGATGTTGTCCATTGTTTTTGTTTTCTGTGTCATTGATTTCTACTTTGATATTTCTTTTTTTCCACTTCTTTTGGTTTAAATTGGAACCTGATTTGAAGCCTGTCTTCTTTTTTAATATAGGCATTTGGTGCTACCAATTTTCCTTTTTGTGGCCTACCACAAATTCTACTATGTTGTGTTTGAGAGGAGCTTATTTATATATTTACATTTATAAGGAATATAAATCCAGTTATATATGTTGCATCTTAAAAATTCTAAGCTTTGTCATAAAGAATCTCATGAAACTTGAAAAGGACTGATTGCCCCTCATCAAAGATGTAATTAATTTAACTAGGTGTCCTAGCACCTATACATATGGACCTATTCCATAAAGAAATAAGTAATGGGAATGTACAGATAACTAGCTAAAACTGCTATACAATATATAGGAAAGTTAAGAGAGTGGATCCTAGGTGGTCTCACCACAAGGGGAAAAATTTTTTTACTTTTTGCTTTTTTTATTGTATCTATGTGAGAAGATGGATGTTACCTGAACCTATCTGGTAATCATTTCACAATGTATGTAAATTAAATCATCATGCTGTATGCCTTAAAATTTATAGTGATGTTATGTCAACCATCTCTCAGTAAAACAGGGGAAAAAAAACAAACAGAATCACTGGCTTAATTAGTTACTGATGAATGAGAGACATTAACGGAAACCTACTTAAGGGCAAATGAGATGGAAGTGACTGTCCACTGTCTAAGATGGCAAAACAGAACTAGGAGAGTTAGAGGAGCAATAAAGTGAATCTGTTGTACCCGTGTGAAGATCCTGATGGTGGCCACCTAAGGTCACTAGACTGTAAGAGGTAAGTGATGCAAGTCAAGTCAGGAAAGCCAGAGCTGATGTTCAACACTCCCTTGGCTTTGGAGGGCTTGGTGGAACAGGGCAGCAATCAATAGTAAGAAGAATATTGGGCTGTCAGGGTTAAGAAACATTGCTTTAGAATTTTCTAGTATGGTCACCCTGTAGGTCATTAGTTTGGTGGCATCCTCTGGGACATATGGCCTAAGGGCGCTTCCCAAACTTCCACGTGCTCAGGGACCACCGGGTGCTGTTTAAGACACAGATCTAGGCTTCGTCCTTAGTCCCAGAAGGTCCTGTTTGCAAAGTGCCCAGGAATCATCTTATCTGTTGCAAAGACTCAGAGGGTCACAGCCCCAAACATAAAGGCTTGAGATTTAGCTGCCGTTTTTAGATTATGACCAACTGGAAAGCGTTGGTGGAGGAAAAATACCTCATCTGTGAGCACCGACCCCCTAAATACTTTAATTCCTCTATTCTGGGCATTCCCGCCCGGGAGCGCATCAGGAGGATCGCGCCAGCGCAAGGTGCGTGGCGCTGAGTGCGGCTGGGTTGCGTCTCGGAAAATTCCCTCCGGACCGGGTCGGGGGTGGGGGTGGGGGTGGGGCTGGGTGGTCCGTCGCGTCCCCTTTGCTCTGCCGCAGGCTCCCACCCACGCGCCCCCTCGGGAAGCATCGCGCGCCTCTCCTGTCAGAGCTGCGTCCCGAAGGAGCGCCAGAGGCCTGGCGGCCGGGAGGGGACGCGGCGGCGGCGGTTTCCGCCGAGGAGCAGGCGGCCGGGCGCGCGCACCGTGGGACCAGCGTCCGGGCTCGGCCCCTGGGGGCCTCCTCGCGCACTCGGCGCCGCCTCTTCCCGCGCCGCCGGACCGCCCGGGGGCGGGGCTTCGCGCTGCGGAGGCTGGGGACGCGGCGGTGCCGCGGCAGCGGAAGCGGGAGAGCGGCGGGGGGCACCGGGGAGACCGGCCAGCAGCGCCGAGCGGCCGCCCGAGCCGCGGCTGGAGGTGAGTGCAGCGCGCGTGCCCCCGCGTGCGCGCCGGCCGTCCGGCCGCCCTGCCCGTGGTCGTTCTCCCCGGCCTGGGGCCCGCGCCCAGGGACCCCGCACCGTCCTGCGGGGGCCACGCCCCTCCCGGCTGGCGCCCGGCCGCGTTCTTTCCCGGCGTCGGCTAGGGACCGGCTCTGCGCCTCCCCGCGCTCGAGCCTGCGCCCCGGGGCCGCCGCGAGGATTCCCTGCCCCTGGGAGGCCCGTCTGGGGCGAAGCGGGCTTCTCTTTGTGTTCTTAGCCTTGTCACGCGCCTCGGCATTCGAAGTCAAAAGCGTGCACCGCCGAAGTGGCACGAGTGACCGTCTTGCGGGCGGGATGGGCCTGAGGGCAGCGAGGCTCGCAGCGCGCCGCTCACCTCGGCCTCCGCTCCGCCTCGGGCGCCCACGTTGGCAGCGGGCGCGGCCCGGCAGGTGACCGGATCTTGGCCGCGTGCCGCCGGGGCTCACCTGGAGCCCGTGTCGGGGATGCTTCAGGTCCGCTCCCCTATCCGTGTATTCCCCACTGTTGGCAGTGTGGGGGACCCGTAGAACTTTTGCTCTGCTTTAGTAAAAATGCATACTCTTTACATTTCACACCCTATTTAATATTTTTAGGATTTTTTTTTTTGGTAAAATAAGACAGGAGAAACTTAATTTTGATGAATATTCTTTTTGGAAGAATTTAACAATCAGAGTCTCATGGTGATGCTCGTCATTTCCAGATGTCCCGTTTTCAAATCTGCATAACCAGTCTCGTGTAGTGTTTGCATTTTGAGATTTCATTTAACTGGTTTGGGGTCTCCAAGGCCTTACAGCCCAAAATTATGCAAAAATTATGCCTAGGGGCACACTGTTACAGTGTCCAACAGTACTGACCCAGCTCTAGAGTGAATTTGTGTTTGGCTTCTGGCCATCAGATTGACTCATGTTTAGGCACTTTTACTATATTTCTGAATTTTTCAGCCTGGGAAGCAGTGGAATCTCTTGATGGTTCTTGGGGGATCCTCTAGGGCATCCTCACTTCTACTTGTGTTATAGAAGATTAAGTTAAACTAATGCAATTGGAAAGAAGAATTTTGTTTTATTTGTAAATGGAAACCAGGAACTTGCTAAGACTTGCTGTTAGGCCAGAGCTCAATTTTCAAGACGTCAGTGGTCAAAAAGACATTGAATTGTTAGGAAGTTTAAAGAAAACAGGTTAGCTCTTCAAGACATGTATTATTTCCCTAGGGTGAGGATATCACATTGTTTTCATCTGATTTTCTCAAATATGAATGGTCAAGGATAAGAGGAAAGGGTGCTATGCAGCATCACATTGCAAGGACATTGTCACTGGGAGCAAAGGATGCCATCTGCCATTCAGTTACTGATGAGGGATATAAAGATTTTGCATTTATGATGGTTTTTGAAGGGTGGCACAGAAACAGCGTTGAGGAGAGTTGATGATGTTGGGCCTGATGTTGAACGGCTTCCTTCAGTCCGTTTCTGAGGCCACCTTCTCTGAGCAGGGAGGCAACTGCTGGCCTTATTGAAAATGCTGTGAACGTGCAGGCAGGCTTTCTGCATCAGAAGCACAATGGGTAGAAGGACCAATCCTGAAAAAGCTGCCTCTCTGGAAAGAGGTGGAAGGATGGGGTATTACCTCAAGCAGGCCTTGCTGAGCCGGAAGCAGGGTCCCAGACCAGTGCTTATTAAGGAAAGCGAGCTAGAGGGTAGTATGGTCCCTAAAATACTCAGCCTGGCGGGGAGCTAGGGAGGCAGGGACAAGGAATGAGGGGACCAGTGCCCTAGGCTTTAATTCAGTTGTATTACTGTTACTATTTTTTTTTCTTTTTTAAAAAATAAGTTGCCTTAGGAAAAGATATCTTTCTTTTTTAGTGACCTAATGTGAGAAATAGCCTCCATACTTGGGATAAGGAAAAAAAAAAAACCACTTCTTTTAGGGGGAAGAAAAACTTGAATATTTTATCAGAATCTTTGCAAAATTAGAAGGAATGGTCTTGATATGCTTTGCTTTCATCTTAGAAAAGCATGAGTAATTCATTTGCCCCTGAAAATGTTCTCAGACTGTGATCATTTTCCTTTCTTAACTTTTCAAGTTATTGATGAAATTGCATTAAAAGAGAGACTTGGCTTGAAGGTTAAGGTGTGTCTACTAAATTCCCAGAGTCCACTTGGCTTCATACCGAAATTTCCTACACTTTCCAAAAAAGAAAGATGCATGGCTTCTCAGATATGTATATTTTGATCTTATTTTTCTTTAAAACCCTTCAGGGCTATATTTATAGAACTTACCCTAGTTAAGATTTTGAAGATTAAAAATGTGCCTGACAGGAAGGAAATATATGTAAAAGTACCATATACTACAATTATAGTGGTAGACCTTTTAGTTTGTTGTGGTTCTTGAACTTTTTTGATCATTCTCATTAGTAAAAAAACATTTTACCGTATCTAAAACCTAATAGTGTTATATGTCAGTTATATCTCGATTTTCAAACATTGTTAGCATTCCCTTATAAATCACCTATTTATAATTATATACATGTGCTGCTATTATTGTCTCATGTCTCAAGGCCCAATATACACTTAGGGCTGGGTTCATTCTTAATCACAGTGGAGGTAAAAACCCCATTTCAAATACTCCTTAAATGTTGAGTCTTTTTTGGCCTGTTTCTTGTTAGATCTGATTTCATCATCATAGATTTTAGTTCATGACATGCCTTATATGAGCAAAGCTGACTCAGGATAAGAAGCGTGTGCCTTCTCAACCACGGGCTTCTGTTCACTTGTGCATTTATTACTATAACCTTAATTTGTGCTTTTTCTAGATCTTTTAAAGTTTCATATCCTCTATAAGATTTAGGTTAGTTAAATTTGTCCTTCTACCTCATTCTGCTCATGCTGAAGGCCAAAGCGTGCTTCAGGCTCCCCAGAGGGGTGGTGAAATGTGGTCCTCAACAGAGGGACTTAGGATGCAGAGTCAGTTTCTACTGCTGTTACACAATTAGTATTTTGTGCTAGTATAATATAATTAGTGTGATTCGCATACACATAATACATATTTAAGTTAATATATGTAATAATTTATATCATTAAAACAGTTGCTTTCCTATTTTTTGGATGCAACTTACAGGGTTTTCTTCCCCAGCCCCCTGGAGCATCTTCCATACCCTCTGGGATGCCTGCTCCCTGCTGGTAGATAGCTGTGTCACAGATGCTCAGTGGACATGGTTGTGTCCCAATAAAACGTTATGTATGGACACAAAAGTTTGGATTCTATGTGCTTTTCATGTGTCATGAAATATTAGTCGTTTGGTTTTTTTTCAACCATTAAAAATTTAAACACTGAGCTTTCAGGCAGTGTACAGAAACAGGTGTCTGGCTGGATTTAGTCTGTGCACTGCTGTTTGCCAACTCTTGAACCAGAGGAAAATTTGGGAGCTCCTGCCAAGATGTAGGTGTCCCTGTGGGAAGCAGCCTTTCTTCAGAAATTCCAAGTGCTGGAAAAAACACAACGAAATTTGGTTCTTCATTTTCACTTAGCATCTCATGTTTTGGTATTTCCACTACATAACATTAAATGTGTACATTAATTTTAAAAGTTCTTTATTAAAATTTTTTTTTGTGGTAAAATTGACAGTTACTTTCAGGTGTACCACATAATGATTCACTATCTGTATATAATGCAGAATGACCACAAGGAGTCTTCCTGACATCTGTCCCCTCACATTGTTACAGTGGGGAATTTAGATTTGAACCTCCAATCCCTCAGGCTTTTGCTGGCAAAAGGGATTCCATCCCAGATAAAGGGCCATCAGGTTAGAAGGCTGGGGCTGCAGTCTACGATCAGGTAAGGGAAAGACTCAACCGGGTTCTTTTTTTTTATCATAATGAGAATTCTAAGATCTACTCTCTTAGCAACTTTCAAATATGAAGTACAGTATTATTAACTACGGTCATCATGCTGTTAAGGATTTTTCTTTATAACTGCCCCCTTCCAGAATTGGGGAAAGTATGATGTTTATAATGGGGGTTGGGGAAGAGAGAGGAGGTGATTCTGTGCACTTCCTGCTACGTTTTTAAAGCAGTTTAAAGAGAATCCACTGGCCTTGATCATTTAACCCTAATGGCTTACAACAGGAGTTGACAAATTTTCCTTAGGGGCTGAATAACAAGTACTTTAACTAGTTTAATTCTCATAATAGCCTTGTGAGTAGATCTCTGTCTCAACCCTCCAGCTCTGTCCTGTAACCAGAAAGTAGCCATGGGCAGTAATTATAAAGGAATGGGCAGTGCCTGTGTTCAGTAAAACTTTATTTACAAAACAGGCTGACCATGGCCTGTGGTGTATTGGTGACCCTGGCTTAAGACAGAGTGGAATATCTTTTAAACCTCAAAAAAAGGTTGGTGACTGAGCTGCTGGGGCCTTCTCAGGTGTGTTTGATCTTTGCAGGGACTTCTGAACTTCCTCCTGAGCACCTCCCGCCCTGGGAGCCGAATGATGCCGCCTCCTCTGAAAAGGAATCAAGGTGCGGCTCCTGGACTGGAGAAGCTGTCAAATGAGCTAATCTCATTTGGTTGCTCGCTTATACAGTACTTGCTTGTATGATTGAAAACTCTGATGGAAAAATAAGGAAATGAAAAAGAGAAACTTTGGAAGTTGAAGGAGCCTGTGCATTTGGCAGGTTGCCCATTTTCACATTAAAAAAAAATTTTATAGGCAGTTTTGACCAGTAGGTTGAATTTTTTTAATTAATTAAGTTGATAGGAAATAATCTGCAATTTTTTGTGACGTTTGCAGTATACCAGGACTCTTAATGCAGAGATACACTCCAGGGAAGCCTGGGGTTTCACAGAGCTTAGCTGATTTAGGGCAATCATTTTTCAGTAGGTCATATGCCTACAATCAAATATGAGACAAACACATTCTGAAGCCTAAACAATAATAAATATTAATATACCTGATGCAGTACATCTTCCA